CCCCCCCCCCCCCCCCCCCCGCTCCCGACTCATGTCCAACCCGATAAATGCGGAACTTTTAACCCTGCTACCAAGATGTAACTTGTACAAAAACTAATGAATAAAGTTATTTATCCTAAAAGTAGCATACGCATTATTCAAAGTTTAAATGTATACCTAACTAACATTCCTACAAGATAACTGAACAACTAACTTAACAAACTGTTAGAAATGTCAGTGACCTATGGAAGCGATTCAGAAAAATGTATAAAACCTGCCAGGTTTGTTGTTTCCCTTTTAACCCCTTTACTCCCACAAGTGATTAAAAAGAAACTTCTCCCTATAATATCCATATATTATCCAGGAAACAGGTAATGAAAATACTCAAACTTATCGGGTAGAAGTTGTAATCTTGGTCTAACACCAAATTCTCGTAATTAATTTACGAGGAAATCTGTTGCAGCTGAAGGGAAGAATTAACGATCGGATCTTGGGAGTTAGAGTATAAAGAGGTAATTTGGATAGTCGAGCCTCTTGGCCTTACCATGCTGTATCGTGACAAACCTTTCAATGGAAATCAGTAACTTACCTGAGAACTACCTTTTCTTTCCTTTGAGACTCCCTCACAAAATCAAGCGCTAATGGGGAAACCACAATTTCATCCCCGACACAAGCAGGCTCCTTTGACTTTCCTTCACCTTTGTAAGGCGCGTCATAGCTTGACAATTTATTTTCCACCTCAGCTTTTTTAAAGTTTGGATAACAGTACAATAAAAGGCCGTAAGTATCAGGAACTGTTGTCTTACATAAACAAGTGAGAAAATGTACACATTGAGGCATGGGTCTGAAGAAAAGACGACGAAAAAAATCTTCCAAAAGAGCAACGGGTTTACGGAACGTGCAGACACAGAATCTGCAAAACAGAAAGTAACACGAATAAACTGTAACATCTTACTCAAAAATGATCCCTCGTGTTTTAAGACGTGGAAGGCTGTTTCACTCCGCACAGACACGTCGATATCGAGAGAGTTTGGTCGCGGGCTAAACAGACAGCGGGAAATGGTCTTTTAGGCGGTGGTAGACTACTAGTTGGTGGCTTTTTTTTATTGAAAACCTTGGTCAATAGCCCTTACTCGAGAAGACTAGCTAGTCTAATCATTTCCCGATGACATCGAAAAGGCAGTACACGCTCCTCAATTTTTCTCAAATACGCTCACTGTTGGTCTGTTCCTCGGCTAGAACCCTCCACCTCCTGCGCGGCAGTGCGGCTAACAACCAACTCACCCTGTCAGTAACAAATTAAAGGCATGCTCTGAAGAAAAACAGTGAGAGTGCGGCCAACAAGAAAATCATTTAACTAGGGGCTGAAAACTAGGCCCATATGACAAACATCCTGTCTATTGACGGAATTCAAAAAGCAATATGAAGTATTTTCCCCTGTAACTAAAGATTTTACACAACTCACCGACAGAAATGCTTCACTTTGAATTCTACAATTCCATCTTTAACAGTAACTGGCCCTTCTAGTTGACCTGTGATATCCGTCCAGCTAGCGTTCCATGGTTTGCCCTCTGAGTCGAGGTATAATATCCTTATGATTTCACTTGAAAGCTCTGAAAAGTCATGTTTACTTTCACGAAGGGCGAGGGGAACCTTGAAAGTCACAGGCTCCATATGTACAATGTTCTGAGAGCTTGAAATGTGAATAACAGGACCACACAGTATCCCAATGTCTTCAACCTCATTGCTTGGAAATTCTTGTACCTTAGATGAAAAATCAGAAAAGGTGTTGACTTTTGGTGAATACCAACCATAAAACAATCTTCTTTCTTAGATCAGGATAGATGATAAAATTTCAGATTGTCCTTGAGTAAAGAAAGATCAACCTTTTAAAAGTTACTTCTGTGGGAGGTTTTATTTAGACGCATGCTGTTTAAGGATTAAAAGTAACGGAGATGCAAGTGTAGCTATTTCATTAACAAGCACATGCAAACACATCTAAGTCATTTGCCTCTAAATTAGGACATAAGATAATACAATAGAACCCTGCAAACTCGAACTCCACCGGGAGACAAAAACTGGTTCGAATTAGCAGGGGTTCTAGTTATCAGACTTGGTATTGATTTAGATTTATCCTGTTAATAATTGATAGGGAATCATGTTTTTACCATTCTTGTACAATCAACAGTCACATACTTACATTTAGTTTGTATTAAGTGCTTCTTAGTTTGGGAAATTCAGCTGAATGTATTATGTTTTCATAAATGTTATCACGTTCGTATCCATCGTGATTAAAGGTTGAGACCAACATTTTACTTTAAGTTCGAGTTCTCAGCATAAATTTGAGTCAAGGGAAAGTAAAATTAGTTTGACTTCACGGGGAATTCTAGTCAACCGAGTTTAAGCCAGCTTATAGTAAGTCACCGGAAAAATGAGGTAAAATCTAGGGAGATCGGGTCCTTTTCGAGTTAGCTGGAGGTTCGAGTTAATCGAGCGAGTTAACGGGGTTTTCCTATACCTTAATTGTCAGAGTAAAGTCCTGATCAACAGGTACAGAACTGGAAGGAACTTCAACGCGTATGTCTGGAAAGTCAGGTACTACACATGTAAATTGAGGAGCCAATGAAGTACGTCTTTTGAATGTGAAGGACTTTAGGCGCCAGATGGCAGCAAACGAAGAACATCGTGACGGGGTGCATGTAGCTTCAACAAGCTGACGCCAGTCAGAAACTTCTGGTTTTTCTACACATAAACGTTAAATTTTAGTTGAATATTTTGAGCTGTTTCCTTGATAGGTGCCAAAAAATAATGACAACTGTATTACTTCTATGATGCAGAAAAAGGATAGACTAAAGAGTAAAAAATGATTGTGTGGTCTAATTTTCTGGCTGAAGGACTGTTATAGGTGGTAAAAGACTGATGTTTCAGCAACTTTTGAGGAAACTATCATCAATTTCTCGCGAATATTTGCTTGTAAGTCGAACATATGAGTCTGATTCGTGAAAACTGATTGGTCAGTTTTGCTGCGGTGTCGTCGGCTTTAAGTCTTAGAGGGCGGAAGAATGAGAACAACCGGCGCGAAATCAAAACAATTCAATAAAGGACGAAGGATACCAACAAACTAGTGTATGAGTCAACTTGCACTGAACCCTACAATCTCGATCACACATACAACATTCGACTTACAAACAACTCCACACTGGACTCTGACGATGACTTCTGCTCAGGTTAACGAAACGCTGCAAACTGTCAACGTAATCAGTTCTTTTCAGGACTATATACTCTCACCCAGAGGGCAATAAGGAGCAATTTTCAAATGAGTGTATAAAGTAATCCGGGATTGATTTGTTTTTGTTTTTCTTCGCTCTTTGATTGGTCCAGAAAACTCGCGCCACTCTCTCAACCAATCACAAGCAAAAATAAAACAAATCAGGACTTTGTCGCCAGCGTTTTCCCGCGCTTTATTAGGCAGTTTGTTCGGTTGTACTTTGAGTTTTCATTGGCTCGTACAACTATTTCCTTTCTTCTGATTGGCTGTTATGATTACAGTTTGTACTTTGGTTTTGGTTTTGTGACACTATCCAAAAGCTCACTAACAATCATCATAAATGACATGTAACCTGTACCTGATGCATGCCAAGTCTCCAAATCCTTCCATACGTTGTCATATGGATCCACCAATTGCTTGATAACCACTTCATAGCCCTTCAAATCAGTTGCACTGTGCAACAAAGCCACAGTTACGTTTCCTTCATCATCTCCACTTAACTCTAGGTCTGGTGGACCATCATGTGACAATTCAATCACATTGCTTACCAAAAGCTCATCACTAGAAATGGGCGGACAACGAAGTTTAAGAGGCAATACTGAACAAGTAAATAACAAAGGTTTTGGCACAGCTCCCTCATGAAATGTGACGTAGGCGGCTGCTTCCGGTAGGTTCCATACACAACCTCTTTCTGTAACTTCACCCCTAAAAATAAGGTCGGCAATAACAGTTATGACAGGGTAATTTGGTATTATCAGATTGGCCACCCTAAAGAGTTGCAAAGTTGACGATTCGAGCGTTTGATTTCGTCAGAGCGAATAACGAAGGGCTACCGCTCGAAACGTTAGCTTTGCAGCTTTTTACGGTGGCCAATTTATGTTATTAAATCAGTTGATAATACCAAATTACCACGTTATACTCTCCCACCAACGCAGCACCAAAGTTTCTTTAGAAATTTATCCCCCTTTTTCCATAACAGTTAACAAGCTGAGGGAGTTATGAGACTTGTCCTCAAAGCTATCTCTGAAGAAACTTAAAAGTTTCATCTATCCTGTCACTAATTTAGCAAAGCGTTGTTTCCTTTGTTTTTCGGTTTGGTATATGAATGACTTAAAGAGAAGGAAAGAAAAGAAACTTTGACCAGGCCCTGAGTTCTGACTAAGCTACCTCAAACCAGATACCTGTAATCAATCAATCTCATTTTCAACCATGTATTTATCCTTGCACCTGTGCAAAAGCTACATGAATTGGTGATAAAAATCTCTAAGTCTATGGAAGTTCATAGTGGCTCTTTTGAGAAGGGCAGCTCACAGTCCCCTACACAGAGTTAAAAATATGCTTTAAGTCCAATCAGAAAGAGGTCATCATCTCTCAGTATTAGATAGTAAAACCATTGCCACTCTTATCAACCAATCTCTTTGTGCAGAGTCAATTGGTTTTTCTTTGATACCAAATCTTCTCAATACTATCCACAGATTACTAAATAAAAATTCTCCAAATTAACCAGTTGACTCTTGCAATATGTGCCACCTTACCGATAATAAATTGATGAGTTAGATATAGTAATTCTTACCTAAAAATGACAGATCTTGTGATCACTTCAACATCCAGCAATGGATCTTTTTTCAATTCTAAGTGTTGCACAGTATCTGGTTCCATCTTAACATTTACCAACTGGGACATCACTCCCTCCATGGGAACTAAATATTTTAAATAAAACAAGCATACAAACATAGTGAAACTCAAATTTTCTAACGCCAGTTTGTATTTTCCCCTTGTAAAAAGTTTGTCTCAGCTAATCCAGACAAAGGGGCCAAATCTCTACAATTGTAAATCTAGTTAAGTTTAACATGAGTAGTGTTGACAGTATGAGACATTGAAACCCCCTTTTCCTTCATGAAAAAAAAATTCACTTGGTTAAGTATTCATTCTTAAACTTACCATCTTCTTCAATCAGCATTGATTCTCTCTCCCTTTGTTGCAGCCACTCTTTATAGTGGGTTGTTTCCTTAGTGGATGTTGATGGCAAAGTCATTGGCTCTCCCTTATGTTTCTTGGCAGTGAACTCGTGAACACCAGGTGATGACCTTTTAGCTGAAGATCGCCTTGACTTTAATCTGCTTTTAGATCTACCTGTAATTTGACCCCATAAAATGTTGTTGGAGAATATTGAACTAACCAGAATAACTCTTTCTAAGAGTAGAGTTCCTTGCCTTCAAATGAGAGAGGGATGTTAACTAGTTGTCATCCCCAGCATCCTGTTATAATTTCAAAATTCAAGGATAAAGCTAAAGCTAAAGCTAACTATTGATGCTGCATTATGCTTTTTTTAAAATCAACTCTGATTGAAAAATAATGCAAGAAATTACCACCATGCTAAAATCTCTACGCCTTCACTAAAAGACACAAAAGAATTGCTTTATATCATTGTGCAAAACAATTTGCATTTTTCTTCTCAATCCTGCTTTGGAAAATTATTAAGTGTGATATGAAAACAAAGTCTGAGAATTGTTAAGGCTCATCTGCAAGAAATTATAGGACTAAACCAAGTTATCTCATAATATCCTGTAGAATAAGTCAGAACCACAACAAGCTAATTCTAAGCTAATAAGATTCAAAGTTAAAAACTCATATATGCAGAGAATACTAGCTGATAATTGATTGCTCTGACCTTTGAAAATCCAAAATTAACTAATAAATAAAATTCAGGAGCTAACCTATTGTGCATCATTATGAACTTACTGTTGGTAAATGGAGAAGGCAACAGTCATGTAAATGCAATCAATAATAAAATTATTTAACTTGTAACTTAATTGACAAAATAGAACTTGTACCTGACACCAACTCAAGCATCTTTTTCAAAAGTCTTCCAGAGGATTCCTCCATGTTGTATTTCTCTGAGTAGTTTTTACGGATAAGTTTCATCTCTTTAAGTCGCACTACCCTGGGTTTTTGTTGTATTGCTCTAATTTCCTTGGTCCAGTCTTTAGGATCATCAGAGTCAACTACACACTGAGGGCCTAAGGGAACTTCTTTTAGAACCTTCCCAAATCCTGAAGAACCTCTGACAAGCATTGGCAAACCAACAGATAGGGCTCCAAGTGCTGCTAATTCAAAACTTTCAGTCCAGAATGGCATTATGGCAAGATCTGCCTCACTGAATAAATTAGTAAGTTCTGCTATTGTAAAGCTGTCATTAACGACAACATTAAAGAACAGTCGATTGTGTCTTATGAAACTATCAAATAACTTTCTTTCCATGGCATCTGTATTTACCTCTGAGGAGAGTAAAATGTGTATGTGGGTTTCATCCTCCGATGCAGACGTTGCTTCAGCAACAATTTCCCACCACTTAATTTCAAGTTTTCCACTGAGACCAAATAGTAAAACAACAAAAGGTGATGATTCTTTGATATCCACAACATCTAACTGTGGAACATCCCAAATCTCAGAGAAAATACTTGGGGTGTAAATTAACACAGTTTGATCTATATTCCTAGAATAAAAGTAGTGTTGATATGCACCTGCAAGCTTAGGCCCAATGGCTAAAATTTGATCAGCTATCTCACAGATTTCCACTTCTGCCTGATCCCATTTTTCACCCTCTGAAAGGTCTGTGATATTCCTTCCAGGTTCCTCAAGAACCACTTGAATCCATTTACAATTATGCTGCTTTTTGATGATGTAAGGCACTTCTCTACCATCACTTGCACCATAAGCTAAAACACAATCCATGACATGTCCTTGGGGTAAATTAATCAGCCAGTCAATTGGATGAGTAACAGGAACCATTTTCTCTGCTTCAATGAGCTGAACATTGTAACCTGCAGCATTTCTACTTTCCTCTTCACTGCAGTGTGGAAGAAAGACACTAACCTCCACACGTGGGTCTTTAGCTAACTCTATGGCAAGTCCTCTTATGATTATAGAAAGGTCTAATAGAGATGGCCTCCATTCCGTACTTAACAGAGTGAGTCTAATTGGTTGTTGCTGAGTCTTTTCTTTGTCTTTAGTGATGTCAAAAAGCTGAAATGAAGAGAAGAAAATTAATAAATTTACAAATTTTCTCCAACAATATGCAATTGTAAGTTAACAAAAGGATGTTACCTCCTGGCCCATTGAGGATTGCATTGTCCTTTCTGTAGGTTCCTCATCGGCAAATAATGAAGGCTGATTGAATGCACATGCCTTGCCTAAAATAAAATATATAGTACTTAAAAAAAACTGATGTTACTTCACTAGGGATACCAATATGTATCAACACAACCTGACTGAAGTATGGCTCGATATTATTCACATAAATTTGAACATTATTCAAACCACTGATACATGAAGTGCAGAAGAATGATCAATCAAAGCAGGGTTAAAGCAAAGGATAAATTAACCCTTTAACTCCCAGATCAAATTTTTTAAATCTCCTTACTGTCAACCATACAATTCTTATAATGTTAGTTCAGAGAATTTAGTATCTCATCACTCATCTGGTTGATATTGTATTGATATTGTAAGAAGAAATTCTGTCTTGATCACTCATGGGAGTTAAAGGGTTTAAGCAATGGTCCTGCATGCACATGCACTTTGTAAATATATGTTAATAAGTTAATAGGATGTGCCAATCACAGCTGTGGAATTCCAGCCAATTACAACTGAGCAGAACAGTTCATAAGGTAACACATACCCAGTCAACCTTATTGCCTGATAAAGATGCCCAGTACACCATCAAAACATAGCAAAAATCAATAGACAAACAATTCTACTTCATAGACTTAGGATTTTTCCTTCTGGTCAGTTTGTATAACATAATTGGAATGCTACAGAACATTCTTGTAATCAGTTTGAAAAAACCCTACAAAAACCAACACAAAATGTGAGAAGTGGTTCCCTAAAAATATTTATTTTACTTGTAAATCCTTGGCCTTCTTTTATTGACTTTTTACCAGCACTTACCAAACTTCAGCAATTATTGTAATAAAATACAATGCAGTTTCCAAATACTCTTCTGCAAAATTTCTTAAAGTCTTATTCATCATTGGATTCCAGTGGCCTTCTCAATAACATCTCTAGACTTTGTTATACTAATTTATCATTAAAGTAAATTTTACTCCCACTCCTCAACATTGCATAATCTTAACTGACATAGGGTCCCCCACCTATCCTGTACGTCTTCTTTCTGCCACTCTCTAGGCTCCCAGCACATTTGAGGAAGTCTTACCCTCAGAATATTTATTTCACTTTGGAAATAATTATAATATATGTATGGGTTACTGCAGTTTTCATTGTCTTTGAAAATTTTATATGTGCATATTTTCATCATATTGCACTTGAAATCATGTCATTACTTACATGTATATTAATTCTTATGTATCTATTAAACTTTGAAAAAGCAGTAGATCAGGTTTTTAAACTACATTAGGGTTCTTACCTTTCAATCACTTATTTAACAAACTTTTAATCATCATCTTCTTTCTACTTGTAGGAGACAGCTGACACATGGTTGCCTGTGGATGTTTATTGTGCCCTCTATAAACCTCTTTGAAAAGAAAACAATGTCAACACAACAAGAAAATTATTTTCAGTTCTTTAGTCAGTAAATCAATAAGAGCAGTTTCTTTTTCAAGCAACAAAAACAGTAAATAATAGACTCTTTTGACAAGGCTAGTCCAAAATTTAATGATAATATATATATATATATATATATATATGTTTTTTCAGAAACACTTTATCAGGCTGGAATCTTAAATTATTAACTCTGATTGGCTAACTACATCCTTGTTGCTGGCCCAGCTTTTTAAAATATGGACAAAAGTGCCAAAGTTTCCCACCCATTTGTGGCAAAACAGAAAAACAGACTTCATGCATGGTAAATTAAATAACATTTACTTTATACAGTATATGTTAAAACAATAAATGCAAAATCTATGCCAGGGTACTTAAAAGTTTACATTTAACACTCTAGCTCATAAAAAGGGTAACAAAATTGTCCCTCAAGCAGAATCCTTTTAGAGTGAAATTATTTCCGTAAAGTAAAGCTCAAAATCAATTTGTAGCAAAGTAGGAAAAGATTTTCGTACAACCTCAAACTCTTCTAAAAGAAAGCTGTAGTCACAAAGGTAATCTATCGGTTTGCCATTGTTTTGTTTATCCAAAAACTATGTGCATAATGAAGTATGAGGCTGCACACAAATCTTTCCTGCAGAAGCTCTGTAATTTGATCACCCATGTCTATACCCTGCTAGCAACAAACTGTTGATGAAACACCTGTGGACTATCCTAAATTGTTCTAAGTTTATGTCAACTGTTCCTGTAGATTTACAGGTTAAATAATGGTATCGGTTCCTTTTAACACTATTCACAAAGATCGTGTTCAACAGCATACTACACACGAGGGACAACGCAACAAGCTAGGATGCTTTGAATTTGTTTTTTTCGTTGGTCAGCATGAGAGCAATCAGCAAGCACAACACAAATTTACAAACTCATGGATTATCTTGAGAAAACTTCGATCGCCTCTCATGCGTGACTTCCGGTTTACAGTTGCACTAAGTGCGATAGAAAGGTTGGTTTCATAGCATAATTCTCTATATTGGGCTCATAGTTTTCCTTTGTTAAAAATACCTTTTAAGAAAAAATGGATCCATCTTCGTTCGACCGTCATGAATTCTAGATGCATTAAGATTGAGCTTAATATTGAAACAAGCTTGATCGTGCAACGTTAAGTCGTTGAGTATAAGATCTCAACGGTCGTTTATCGATCTTCATATTTAATAAACACTGAGAGCGGATCTTAGAAAATGTCAAATAACAAGCAAAGCTAACGTCTATATAAAATACAACTAAAACGGCAGATAAAATTTCAGCGATTCTTAGCGAGAAACATTGACTTCATTTCGCTGGGATTACAATTTCGTTCGAATTCCAGTCTTCGACTGGAGACTGACCTACCGCTGACAATATAACGTAATTTGTTCCAGTTTTGTTGTAAGAATTTCCGCTTACCACTGGTTGAGGAAAGTTCTGATTCTTTTCATCTTGTCTTG